ATACCAGCCACAATTCCCCCCTCTCCCCCCTCCTTCCCCTCACCCCTACCTCCCCTCACTCCATCCACTCTCAGAAAAGGTGAGGAGATAAACAAAGCCTGGCATATTGAGTCGAGGCATAACCAAACCCCATCTCCCCCAAGGCTGTACCTCCCAATAGTGCCACTCTTTTGGGGGGGATATTTTCTTTCAAACTGTCACACTATTAATCTGTATTTCTTTATTATCCTAAATAGTGCACGCACGCTGTGGATCAAACGCAGGCTTAGCTTGTTGAACACAAGCTCTATTACACTATACCACCTCTCCACTCAGCCCTGTTATACATTTAGTAGTTGTATGCAGTCCAAGCTGGCCTTGAACTCCCGACCCTCCACACCCATTACTTTTTACATTAAGATTCTGGACTTTATGCCTGCCAGGCAAGCACTCTACCACTAAGCTACATCCTTAGACATTTGTGTATCTGGAGACAGGGACTAAGTTATTCAGGCCTTGAACTCATTCTGTCATCCAGACAGTCAGACCTTTAACAGCCCTCCACTTCAGACTCCAGAGAAGTCGAGATCACAGGTATAGGCCTGCACCACCAGGTATGTCTCTATAATGCAAGGGGGGGAATGGGAAGGGAGGACAAAGTGGGGGAAGACAGAGGGAAAGAAAGGTGTAGCCCAATTGCCCCTTCAACACATGCCTGTGAGACTGTGAAACGATGGACAGTGTCTGCCTTGAGGGTGGATTTCTAGGGCCAGACATCCAAGTACCTCAGTCAGCAGGTCCCCTTCAGAGTTCCTTGCTGACACTTAGTATTGCCTTCCTGCTGGTAAGCATTTCAACAGATCAGATGGCATGGACAAGGATGGATTATGACACTCGGGAGCCAAATACTGAGTGTTACAGCTCGGATGGAAAGATATTCTGGCACTCGGGAGCCAAGGAATACCATAGGTCACAGTAAGCAAAGCAGCTTACAGCCTTGCTTCAGAGAAAGGCTTTCCCAGTGTATCAGCTCTGCTGTGCCAGGAGAGGGTTTCCCAGGCAAAGTTGTTACAGTTCAGTTCCATTCCCCCTCCAGGGGAAGGTTTACCCCAGCGAAAAGTGTTACAGCTCTGCTCTGCTCCATTCCACCCAGGATTGTCTCTGCTCCAGTGAAAGAAGGTCTCACCCAAACCTCATTCAAGAGATTTATTGGGAGGGGAGAATCCAGGAGAGTGGCTGCCTTCTGCCGCGGTGGCAGAGGACAGCCGGGCAGCCCGAACAGACACAGGGTTTATGTAGGGATTCTTGGTGGGGGGAATTTTCCAGAGTAGGGATTGGTCAGATTTCAATCCCTGAGTTTAGGATGGCTAGATCTCCTGCTCAGGGATTGGTCAGTTTTCTGTACAGGGTTAGGGTCAGATTTGACTCTGGTTCAGGGCCAAATTCTGTTTCTTTCTCTGGTCCTTTTGGCTCTAGTTTTAGGGCCAGGGTATATTTATTTCACTGGCTCTGATTCCAGGGACAAAGTGTGTTTCTTTGGCACTGGTTTCAGAGTCAGGGTACTTTTTTTTTTTTTTTTTTTTTGGTTCTGGTTTCAGAGCCAAAGTGTTCAGGGAGCCACAAAAGTGCCAGACCTGCCCTCTGCCACCAAGTTTCCAACAGTGGTGTGAGGAAAATGTTCTTAGATCTGGGGCATCAGTCGGGACCTTCTGGCCTGTTGCGCTGGTGCCTGGCAGGTGCTGGGGAAGTCTCCTGATTCTGTTTGGACAACTTGGGAAAAGCATCCCGCCTTGTGTATCCTTTTGTACATCTGTCACCTGTCATCACCTGTTTCTCTACCATTTCTGCCCATGGGCCTCACTGAGTCTAAGTGACTTGTGGGGTGCACTGTGTTTCCCAAAGCAAGGGGAGCTCTCCAGGGAGTTTTCAGGACAAACAGAAAACTTAACAGTTATGCTCCAAAACGGAAACTTCCAAACTAACACAAAGCCAGTAAGAGTCTAATGGACTGTCACTCGGCTTCCGTGGACATTCTGACAAATGTGCTTACCTGTGCCCCTACCCTCATTGTTTCTTCCTACTGACTATTTTGGTAGATGTGTAAGACAAGATCTTGTGTAGCCTGGGCTAGCCTCAAACTCAAGATCCTCCTGCTCCAGTCTCTGGAGCGCTGAGATTACAGACGTGCTCTCAGACTGTACCTGGCATTCTCTTCAGTCTGTTTTGCTTTGAGGTGGGTTCTCTAGCCCAAGATGGCCTTAAACTCCCTATGTAGGTGAGGATGACCTTGAACCTCTGATCCTCCTGTTTCCACCTCCTGAGTGCTTGGAATGCAGGCCTGGGCTACAGCCATTTCTGGTTCAGCCAGTGCTAAGGATAGGGCCTCAGATTTCACGTATGCTAAACATGCCTTTACCAACTGAGCTACATCCACAGCCATTCGTGGTGTCTTCCGAATAAAATCTCATGTGTAGAATTTCACTAATCCATACCTCTGAGTGATGAACACGGGGGAATGTACACTGGAACAATTATACCAAAGACCAGTGGGAGGATGTGAGAAGTGGGAGAAAGATGTTTCATAAGAACCTTAGGAGAGAGAGTGGAGACGACTCAGTGGTTCAGAGCACTTGCTGAGGACCCAAGTTCAGTTCCCAGCAGCCACGTGGTAGCTCACAGTGGCCTTAACTGCAGTTCCAGGGGCTCTGACAAAGTCTACTGGACTCATGTGTGTGCATTAGTTTAGCCACACCTCAGGCCAAACATTCTGCTGTTTGACCTTGAAAAAGCAATAATGGGCTTGAACTCTGACCTTAAGTCAAGTTGAAGCAGAGCCATTTTTATGGGCACTGGCAAAATGGGCCACATGGTATCTTTCCTAAGTAGTGTGGCAGAGCAAGAACAAGGGGCTAAAGGCTCTTTGTGCTGATTCCCAACTGTTCATGTAGGTTATTTAGGGTCCAAACTTCACCACAAGCAACAAGCTGTACAGGGGTGGCAGAGTCCCCAGAACAAAATTCAAGTGTTTCACGACACAGTATTATTATTGAGAGAACAGTGAAGGGACCAGACCCTCACTAAGCCCCTGCTTTATCAGCCATGACAGGCTACAGAAAAGACATGTAGGACTCTGACACAAGGAAACTCCAGATCCTCTGGCCTCCCAGAGCCTAGGGCCAGAACTGAACACAAAGAAACTCCAAGCCGAGTGTTGGTGGCGCACGCCTTTAATCCCAGCACTTGGGAGGCAGAGACAGGCGGATCTTTGTGAGTTCGAGACCAGCCTGGTCTACAAGAGCTAGTTCCAGGACAGCCTCCAAAGCCACAGAGAAACCCTGTCTCGAAAAACCAAAAAAAAAAAAAAAAAAAAAAAGAAAAAGAAAAAGAAAAAGAAACTCAGACCCCCCCAGACTCCTAGATTCTTGGTTTCTAGGAACTGTTTAGCCACAAAAGAAACTCCAGGGGAGACCAAACCCTCCCCTGTAGTCTCCAGGATACAGTTCTGAAAACTATTGGTATCTATGAACAACAGGCCACCTGCAAGTAACAAGACAATGCCATAGAAACCACAGAATGTTCCCTCTCAGCACTGATCAATGAGAATAATTGGTACACAGGTATTTCGTGTCAAAATATGACTTTAAGAAATTCTAATTGTTCTCAAATATCAACCCATCAGAAACCAACCTGTGCCTACTGATGTAATTCTGTGACTTTTGTTTTTAAAACCTAGCAGTGGACTCTGGAGGCTACTGCATCGGCTAGCCAGATGGGGTCCCTGTCATGGCTAGATGAATAATAAAGCCTTGCTTTTGCAGCTTGGTGGGTTTGTCTCCCTGGTAGTCTCTGGGGATCTCTGCATCTTGGGCACCACAATCAGTATTTACAAAGTAGCATTTTGTTCTATTCAAATACCCCTCTCTGTGGATACACAGTAAATTAAGTCAGGATTAAATCAGAATTTCACCCTCAAGTAGGTGACCCAAGGCAAGACAGTTGCTGGAGGAGAAAATGCCTCGATTTTATGTTCTCTCTGTAGTAAGCTCAAACCCTAGTGACCTAAACAATAAAGACCTCTGTATTCAGAAGCACAGATGTAGGGCAGAATTCAGGTTTGTGCGAGTGAATCACCAGAGTTATCAAGGTCCCTGCCAGTCACAATGTCCTAGTTCTGTTTCGCTTGAGCTGCAAGGTAGCTCCTGCCACACAGAACACGCCAGCTGCCTGTTTGGCTTGGGTTGGGGAGAGAGGTTGAGTCCCCAGCTGGTTTGTTCAAATCAGACCTTTCTCCCAGCAGCCTGTCATGATTCCCCGCTTGGTTCAAGTTGGTTGAAGGCTTCATATCCTTAAAATCAACCCTTGGCAAAGGAGATGAGTGAGTGGGTTAGCTTTAAACTAACTTGGGACTATCTCTGGAATCAAAGACACTCCCTTGATGATATTGCCTCCCAATAGTAGGGAGGAGAGGTTCCAATGGTGGGCGATTCATCACCATGCCCATGGGTTTTCTTAGATCAGCATACATTCCAGCAAGGGACAGACAGTTGCCACTCCAAGTGTCCTCATCAGTTCCCATCCATTTCTATTGAGGAGGAGTTCTACGTGCAGGTCCGGAGCCTCATCTTGTCTACACGTTTATGGTAGAGTCACTAGCACAGGATATGGAGGCACACACCTTCCTTCTTCGATTTTCTTCCCTTTTCAGCGGTAATTTCTGGTCCTGTCTGGAGCAAAACTCTGAATAGAAGAGAAGTGATTCTGGAGCCTATGAACCAGTTAAATCTCTGTCCCCTTCAGCTGCAGTTCAATCCTGTCAGAATAGGTGGCCTTTGTTCAAGCTGGCCCAAAGCCATAGCAACTAGCACAAAGGCTAAGAGTATTATTAGTTGTGTCTTTAGGTCAGGTTTTGGAACAGTAAGATGGTTGAGGCTAGGAGGAAGGTACTGTTCTGTTCATGTCCTGTCCCATACTTGAGAAGTCTGGGCAGAGTTCACGGCTGTGTATCCCTCAAATTTCAAGACATGCCAGGTGAGCAGCAACAGCCCTTTCTGGCACGTTGCTCCCACCCTGGTTTCTCAAAAGGAGCGCATTTCTCCCTTGGAAAAGGTCACATTCACTCATTCAGTTAGTCAATCAAGCATGTATTCAGCACTTGCCAGGCATAGCGCAAGGCCTGGGGACACTAGTCGTGGATGTCAGGAACGCAGTCTCTCCCTTGCAAGAAAAAAAGGCAGTCCCCAAACGAGGGGAGCAGAAGCAGGTACTAGTCATTTCTGTGGCCAAATGCCTGTGAGAAACAATTTAAATTTCTCTTGTCTCCTCTCTCTCTCTCTGCACTTGATGCGTGTCCTAAACTAAACCCCAAGCCAAGTTATTTTCTGAACTAAACTGATTTTTTTATTGTTGTTGTTGGAGGAGATTTAATCACTAATTCTATTAATCCACTTTGGAGCAGCCTGTCTGATGGAAAGTTGTGAATCAGAAAGAGATGCTTTCGCCGGGCGGTGGTGGCGCATGCCTTTAATCCCAGCACTCGGGAGGCAGAGGCAGGCGGATCTCTGTGAGTTCGAGGTCGGGCTGGACCGATAGCCTCCGAAACAATACAGAGAAACCCTGTCTCGTAAAAACCAAAAAAAAAAAAAAAAAAAAAGAGAGATGCTTTCAAAGTTCAGAGGGATTTGCTTCATTTGTAATTTATTTGTTTGCTTTTGGTTTAGTTTTGGTTTTATTTTATTTTATTTTTTTGGGTTTTGGTTTGGGGTTTGGTTTTTGTTTGTTTGTTTGTTTTTCGAGACAGGGTTTCTCTGTATTGTCTTGGAGGCTGTCCTGGAACTCTCTCTGTAGGCCAGGATGGCCTCGAACGCACAGAGATCCACCTGCCTCTGCCTCCCAAGTGCTGGGATTAAAGGTGAGCGCCACCAACGCCTGGCGGTTTTGCTTTGTTTTTTAGACAGGCTAGCCTCAAACTTGCTAATAGCTAAGGATGACCTTTGAAGTTGTGGGCATGTATCACCATGCCTTGTTTATACAAGGCTAGGGAATGAGCCCAGGGTTTATACGTGCTAGGCAAACACTCTACCAACTGAGTAAGAACTCCAGACCTCGAAGTCTTTCTATTCACAAGTTAGTTTCAAGTTAATTCTATCCAGTTGATTAAATTGGTTCAGTGGCCTGCAAGTCCCAGATTGCAGTTTCAGAGTAAAGTCCTATGTCTTGGGCCCTCCTTTAGTCCTGGGACACTCACCTCAGCTCCGTGAGGAAGAAATAGGATGTGGAAGGAGGCCAGGCGTGTCTACTTGGTAATTCCTCTCTGTAGAGAGCAGTATTGGAAGAAACAGTTCCTCCTTAGAACTGGAAGGCAAAGGCGCTAACCCAGACAAGAGCAGGGTAGACTGCCTCAGAAAGAGGAGATGCCCCAGTGCAGAGATCTGAAGGAGAGAGCTAAATCGCTACCAAAACTCACACAGAAACCAGGTCGTGGGACAAGAGAGCCGGCTCCACGGTGAAGAGCGCTTGCTGCTCTTGTGAACAGCCCAGCTTCTGTACCAGTGCTGACTCAGTGTCCAGATGCTGACTCACAACCACCTGGAACTCCAGTTCCGGGATTCCGGTGCCCCCTTCTGGCCTCCATGGGCACTGCACACGTGTAGTGAGTTTTGCCATCTAGGCAAAACATTCATACACATAAAATGAAACAGATAAATCTTTATAAAAAAAATAGGGTGGTGGCCGGGCGTTGGTGGCGCACGCCTTTAATCCCAGCACTCGGGAGGCAGAGGCAGGCGGATCACTGTTGAGTTCGAGACCAGCCTGGTCTACCGAGTGAGTTCCAGGACAGCCTCCAAAGCCACAGGGAAACCCTGTCTCGAAAAACCAAAAAAAAAAAAAAAAAAAATAGGGTGGTTGGGGTTAATAAGTTGGAAGAGACAGTATATAATTCTGTCAGGGAAGTGGCAAGAAACCAAGTCAAGAAGGACCAGGTGAGAGCCTGGTAGAGGCAAGGCTGGGTTCATCTCCAGCAATGCCTCAACTTGTGTGTGTGTGTGTGGGCACACACACACACACATACACACACACACACACACACACACACACACACAAAGCAAGAACTAAGGAAGGAGGGAGGGTTAAGAGGGAGAGGATGAGAAGATTGGGGGTCATGAACAGAAAAGCCATGAATTTCAGGGTTTGGGGTACGGGTGTTGTACTGGCTGGTTCTGTGTCAACCTCACACGAGCTGGAGTCATCAGAGCAAGGAGCCCTCATTGCGGAAACGCCTCCATGAGATCCAGCTGTAGGGCATTTTCTCAATTAGTGATCAATAGAGGAGAGCCCCGCCTATGATGGGTGGTGCCATCTCTGGGCTGCTGGTCCTGGGTTCTGAATCCCTGTCTCATAAACAAGGCAGGTGCTAGACAGACAGCACAGCCCTTAAGGGCGCTGGTGGTGCACGCTTTTAATCCCAGCACTCGGGAGGCAGAGGCAGGCGGGTCTCTGTGAGTTCCAGGCCAGCCTGGTCTACAGAGCGAGTTCCAGGACAGCCTCAAAACAATACAGAGAAACCCTGTCTCAAAAAAAAAAAGTTCATTGGGATGCCTGTGTGTTGGCTTGGACTTACACAGACACTGATATTTGCAGTTGACACGGTATTTAATGCCATGAGTCTGAAAGAATTGCTTTAGTCATTAACATCGAGGCAGAGGTGTTTAGTATTGAACGAGAGGAGGGAGCCCCGAAGGAAATAGGGGTTGCCAAGGTGGGATGTGACAGGAGCCGTGGATGGAACCAGAAGTGGGTGGGGCAGGAAGCTAGGAGGGAGAGCCAGCTTCCCTATCCCTGCCTGCTGTCCCCTCCGCCCAGGCCCCGCCGAGTTGACACTATTGGGCAGCACTGCCAGTGACTCTCAGGCTTTGGCTGCCCATCCCTGACCATGCCAGCAGACCTCAGTGCACCTGGGTAGGACCTGAGTGTTGTGCAGCAAAGGGGACAATGAGGGGAGCAAGGCTCTAGCCTCGGGTCATAGGGTTGAGCCAAGGCAGCCTGACCTGTCTTGTCTGTTCCAGGTCCTCCTGTCTCCCGTGGGTTATGCTCTTGGCTGATTAGTCCTGGCCTTGTTCCTGAGTCCCCGCACCCGTCTTTAACCCTTGTCTATCTTCCTTTTTTGTTTGTTTGCTTTTTTTTGTTTTGTTTTGTTTTTCGAGACAGGGTTTCTCTGTGGCTTTGGAGGCTGCCCTGGAACTCACTTGGTAGTCCAGGCTGGTCTCGAACTCACAGAGATCCACCTGCCTCTGCCTCCCGAGTGCTGGGATTAAAGGCGTGCGCCACCAACGCCCGGCCCCTTGTCTATCTTCTTTCCTCTGTCCCTTTGACTTCCCTGCTGGACAATCATCCCTGCCTACCCCTGTCTGTCCCTCGGTACCTCTCTGCATCTTTCGGAGTCTCTGGTGCGCCTGTGTACCTGTCTATCCAACTCTAGTGGGGACAGTAGGTTGGGATCTGGTTCGGGCTGCTGGACAAGGCGGGGGAGGGACTCTGAACCAGGCTGACAGCAGCTACAATCTTCTCAGGAATTCAGATCCTGCTCCAGAGCAGGAGTGGGGTGGCGGGGTAGGGAGGTGTCCTGCTCAGCTGGTAATGGAGACCACTGTGGACTCCTGCAGATGAGCTGGCAGAGTCGGCTTGGGCTGCCCCTGCGTGCCATAGGAAAGCTGAGTCCTAGACCCTGAACTCCATGGCAACCAGTGGGGTGCCTGTCCCTGCCTCCCAAAGGACTCTTGATGTGTTACTGCCCTGGCAGGCTGAGTCTGTTGGGCTGGCTCTGATTTCACAGATTGGGCAGATACCAGCATCTATTGTTACATGCTGACTCTTGTTTGCTTGGCAGGTTTGTTCTGGGATTTATTTGTTTGGGTTTTTTGTCTATTTTGAGACAAGGTCTCCCTTTGTAGGGCAAGTTGACCTGGACCTCACTATGTAGACAAGGCTGGTCTCTGACTCCAGGAAGCCCTCCTGTCTTAGCCTCCCAAGTATAGGGACTACAGGCCTAAGCTACCATACCTTGGTACACTTGCTACTTGACAAGCTCTTCCTTTAGCCTTCAAGTAAGTAGACCAGACTCCAACACTGCTCCCCCCCAACGCAGTGAAAGTGATTATTTATTTATTTGTTTCTTTCTTTATTTATTTATTGTTCTTTTGAGACAGAGTTTCTCTGTGTAGCTCTGTAGACCAGCCTGGCCTCGAACTCACAGAGCTCTCCCTACCTCTGCCTCCCAAGTGCGAAGACTAAAGGCGTGTGCCACCATCACCCAGCTCAGTACCACCTTCTATTCAAAGCAAGTTCAAAGACAGCATGCAAATGTAAGATCCTGTTTTAAAACAAGTTGTCCTTACACACACATACCCACACGTAAATAAATGTAAAAAAATAAAAAGTAGAGTAACAATTAACTTTCCAGGTATTGACTTTGCAACTCGATCGCCAACTTGCTGAAGCCGCAGAAGGTTATTGAACAAAATGAGAACTCATTTACCATCCACACGTACAGCAGCTTAAGGAACTACCTCATTAAATTCAAGGTTGGAGAAGAGTTTGAGGAAGATAACAAAGGCCTGGATAACAGAAAATGCATGGTAAGGGGCTAGGGTGTGGCTGGGTGGAGCTCTCAGCACCAATGAAGCCCAGGTAAAGTTTCTAGCGCTTTAGAAAAAGAAAAGAAAGAACATAGGCTTGTTATGGGGGATGTCTTTCTGTATATATGTTTCTCTCATCGGTTGATGAATAAAACACTGATTGGCCAGGGGCTGGAGAGATGGCTCAGCGGTTAAGAGCACTGACTGTTCTTCCAAAGGTCCTGAGTTCAAATTCCGTCAATCACATGGAGGCTCACAACCACCTTGAATGAGATCTGGTACCCTCTGCTGGCATGTAGACTGTATACATAATAAATAAATAAAACATTTTAAAAAAACACTAACTGGCCAGTAGCCAGGCAAGGAGTATAGGCAGGGCTATCAGAGGAAGAGAATTCTGGGGAAAGGACACAGAGGGAAGCTAGCATTCTCTGGTAAGCCAAGACCACATGGAAATACTTAGATTAATAGAGATGGGTTAATAATTAAGAGAGAGCCAGGTGTTGGTGGCTCACGACTTTAATCCCAGCACTTGGGAGGCAGAGGCAGGCGGATCTCTGTGAGTTCAAGACCAGCCTGGTCTACAATAGCTAGTTCCAGGACAGGCTCCAAAGCCACAGAGAAACCCTGCCTCGAAAAAACAAACAAAAAAAAATTAAGAGAGAACTAGCTAATAAGAAGCCTGAGCCATTGGTCAAGCAGTTTATAATTTATATAAGTCTCCATGTGATTATTTGGGACCAAACGGTTGTGGGACCAGGTGGAACAGAACCACCATCTACGGGCTGGGGGCTGGAGAGATGGCTCAGCACTTAAAAGCACTTGCTCTTGTAGAAAACTAGGTTCAATTCCCAGAATCCAAATGGCTGCTCACAACCACCTGTAGCTCCAATTGCAGGGACACCCTCTTCTGTGAACACCAGATGTGAACAGTCCACACGCATGCATGTAGGCCACACACAAACACATACAATAAAAACTTTTTTTCTTTAGTTTTTTTGAGACAGGGACCTATCCTGGAACTCGCTCTGTAGACCAGGCTGGCCTCCAACTGACAGAGATCCACCTGCCTCTGCTTCTGCCTCCCTAGCGCTGGAATTGAAGGCGCGAGCCACCAATGCCCGACAAGATAAAAGCATTTTTAAATGTAGCATAGGCTGTTAATTTCACAAGGTTAACTTGGCCTACACTCTACCTGGTGGTATGTGGGGATTCTACAAGAGCAGAGCATCGTCTTCTCGCTTCACACAGAGCTTGGTTACCTGGGAGAATGGCAGACTCACTTGTGTACAGAAAGGGGAGAAGAAGGACAGAGGCTGGAGCCACTGGATTGAAGGGGACCAGCTCCACCTGGTACCGACCGTTTTGTTGTTTAAAAACCATTTTTGCGGGGAGAGAAGTTTAAATCTCTACTTTTTTGTGTGTGTGTGTGGTATGTGATATGTGTGTATGTGATGTGTGTGTGTGTGTGCACCTGCATATGTGTACGTGTACCACATGCATGCAGAGTCTGCAGAGACCAAAGGGAGGGCACTGGATCCCCTTGGAACTGGAGCTACAGGTGGTTGTGAGCTGTCCAATGTCAGTGCAGGGAGCTGCACCCTCCTTTGCAGGAACATCAAGTGCTCCCAAGCAGGGAGCCATCTTTCTACCCCCTTCTTCTTATTTTGTGTTTTACTATTTAAAAAAACTGTCACAACAGTATATATTGATCTTATTTTTCCTTTCCCAAGTCCTCCTAGACCATCCCTATCTCCCTAACTACCTGCTTTTATGTTCTTTGAAACCAAAATAAAACCCAAAAGACAAGGAAGGAAGGAAGGGAGGCAGAGAGGGAGGGAGGGAGGGAGGGAAGGAGGGAGGGAGGAAGGAAGGAAGGAAGGAAAGAAAGAAAGACCAAGTCATTGCACAACAAAACCATGGAATTCATTTTGCATTGGTCTACTTTGCCTGAGTATGAGGTCTGCCCTGGGGTGTGGTTGATAATACCCTGTGCTATTGGAGGAAACTGATTTCCCCTCTCCCAGAAGGTATCAGTTACAAATAGGTTCTTGGCTAGGGTCTGGACTTTGACCATCTTCTTCTCCATGGTTGGATTTTGTCTGATTTGAATGTATGCAGGATTCGGGCATGCTGACACAGTCTCTGTGAGTTCATATATATACTCCAGCCCAGTTGTGTCTGGGAAATGCTGTTTCCATGGAGTCAATCACCACCTCTGGCTCTCACGTTCTTTCTATCCTTCTGCATAGATTCCCCGAACCTCAAGGGATGTCGTAAGGCATCTCCTTCAGCACTGAGTACTCCAAGGTCTTTTCCTGTCTGCCCATTACCCAACTATGAGTCTCTATGTTAATTACCATCTACTACAGGAGGAAGCTGCTCTGATGAGGGTTGAGCAATACACTGACATGAGTGTTCTTTGTTCTGATATTTGAAGGGATGATAATGATACTAAAAAAATGGTAAAAAAAAAAAAAAGTTGGGGGCTGGAGAGATGGCTCAGAGGTTAAGAGCACTGACTGATCTTTCAGAGGTCCTGAGTTCAGTTCCCAGCAACCACATGGTGGCTCACAACCATTTACAATTCAATCTGGCATGTAGGCAGAACACTGTATATATAATAAATAAATCTTTAAAAAATACCTAAATATGTTTAGAAAAAAGAAAGCCATGGACAGTCACCCACCCTACCCTTCCCTTCTCAGTCTTTTTTGTTTTTTTACCTTTGGAAGTTACCTTCATCCTTCATGTCCTACTTAGAACAATGTGTCTTTTCTTTTGATTTAATATAAGAACATCTTCTGGAGGATTGTACAAATGGCTTAGTGGCCAAGAACACTGACTGCTCTTCCAGGGGTCTGAGTTCAATTCCTGGCAACCACATGGTGGCTCATAAGCCATCTATAATGGGATCTGATGCCCTGTTCTATCATGAAGGCAGACATGAAATAGAGCACTCATATGCATAAGTAAATAAATATAAAAGAGAACATTTTCTGGGACAGGAGCCTCTTCCAGAGAACCCGGGTTCAATTTCCAGCAGCCACACAGTGGGTCACAACTGTCTAACTCAAGCCCCAGGGGCATCTAATTCTTCTTCTGGCCTCCTTGGGCTTTTCAGGCATGTGTACATAGACAAAATATCCTTGCACATAAAAATAAGAACATATACTCGGGAGGCAGAGGCAGGTGAATCTCTTGAGTTCAAGGCCAGCCTGGTCTATACAAATCTAGTTCCAGGACAGCCAAGGCTACACAGAGAGACCCTGTCTCAAAAAATAATAAAAAAAAGAACATATATTTTTAAAGACCCATTTCCAGGGACTGGAGATGACTCAGTAAGAGCAAATGAGAAGATGCGGCTCTTGAAGGGACCTGAGTCTGGTTTCCAGTGTTAAGTGACTCACAGTTTCCTCTAACTACAGCGCTACAGGATCCAACACCCTCTTCTGACCTCTGAGGTTAGTAGCACTCATGTGCACAGACCCCCACATGGACACACACACACACACACACACACACAACCAAAAATAAATCTTTTTTTTTTTTTTTTGGTTTTTCAAGACAGGGTTTCTCTGTATTGTTTTGGAGGCTGTCCTGGAACTCGCTCTGTAAACCAGACTGGCTTTGAAGTCACAGAGATCTGCCTGCTGAATTGACCATGTATTCATGTATTAAAATATATATATAATATATGAAGTTAGGGACCTGTCTGCTTCGTGTTCCATCTGGTTGATGGACTGACATTTTAATAAAACACACCTTTGATTTAAGTATCTAAGTATCTAAGAAGACTGTTTCAGGGGCTGGCGGTGTAGCTCAGTTGGTGGAGTACTTGCTCAGCACTTGTGAAACCCTGAATTTGAGCCCACATCTGTAAGCTCAGCAATTGAGAGGTGGCAACAGAAGCATCGGAAGGTTCACGTTCCTCTTCAGCTACAAAACAAGCTGGAGATTAGCTCGGACTAGATGAAATCCCGAGAACAATAGTGTTTCAGGGTGGGCCCTGCTGTCGATAAAACTCAAGTCCATGGTGCCCGTGTCTCGTTCCCTTGAGAGGCCAGGGGTATGGCTCCCTCTAGGCCTCTTGCTGCTTTGTGGCTTTACTCTTTACAGAGTAGGCTTTGATTTGTTCCAGAGCTTCAGGACTGCAGGTTAAAGTACAAACCAGTCAATAGTTCTAAAACACGATCTAGAAGGTACAACACTCTGCTTTTAGAAAGTATAAAATCGGGGCCAGGCATGGCACCAAAACCTTTAATCCCAGTACTCCAGAGGCAGAGGCTGGCAGATGTTTGTGAATTTGAGACCAACAAGGCAATTCAGTTCCAGAATTGTTCTGGAACATAATGAGTTCCAGAACAGCCAGTGCTATGTAGAGAGACCCTGTCTCAAAAGGAAAAAAAAAAGTATAAAACTGCCTTTGTGGGTTTACACTAACTCTAGGAAAGAATGTTGGGATTAAATTGTTGACACCCATTTCATGTCAGAGTAGGAGAAATCAGGGTGGAGAAGACCTTAAGTTGGTATCGGGAGGCAAAATCCGCACATATTTAGTATCAGACATGCTGAGAATGTACACCAACTTCTTTGTCTTTCTTCTTCCATGCCTTCCTGTCACAGGAAATGTTCTGTGAAGGCCAGGTGTGCAAACAAACATTCCAGAGAGCCTGAACCGCGTCCAGCCTCAGAGCCCACTTGAGGCGACCGTTCAGTGCTAAATTACCTTGCAAAAGGAACAGGTGTTTGTTTATCTGTCTTGGTTTGAAGAAGGGCCTTGTCGTTGGAAGGATGTCACCCAGCCTGTTCTAGAAGCTATCAGCTTCAATAAACTTTTCCAAGTGATGCTGACTTTATTTCTTTGCAAATTTAACATGAGCTCTCTCTCTCTCTCTCTCTCTCTCTCTCTCTCTCTCTCTCTCTCTCTCTCTCTCTCTCTCTCTCTCTCTGTGTGTGTGTGTGTGTGTGTGTGTAGTACATACAATATAAATGTGGCTGACCTAGAACTCATTATGTAGACCAGGTAGGCCTTGAACTCACATGTTGGCCTGCCTCTGCCTCCTGGATGCTGGGATTAAAGACATGTGCCACCAGGCCAAGGCCAGCACAACCCGTTTTTGTTTTTTTGTTTTTTTGGTTTTTTTTTTTTGTTTTTACGAGACAGGGCACAACCCATTTTTTAAGGAATGTTTGAAAACCCGCTCAGTGTACAAACTACACACTGGGGAACAGGAACAGGACATAATCCCTGCTCCCAAGACTAGTGACAAAGGTTGATGAAGCAGCTACGGAAGATGGACAGGTGGCGGCACTGGCAAGGAGATGGGTACAGATGTGACCGGTGCGGGTAGGAAGTACTTTAGCTGAAAGGCAGGGGGAATGTAACAGGGGGAGCGCAACAGGGGGAATGTAGCAGGGGGAGCATAACAGGGGGAGCATAACAGGCCATTCTTTGGATTGCCAGCTCCTGGATAATGAACATGGACACTTCTTGTTCTACAGTCACTTTCTTTAGTTCTTTTTTTTTTTTTTTAAGATTTATTCATCACATATACAGTGTTCTGCCTACATGCCAGAAGAGGGCACCAGACTGAATTGTAGATGGTTGTGAGCCACAATGTGGTTGCTGGGAATTGAACTCAGGACTTATGGAAGAGCAGCCAGTGCTCTTAACCTCTGAGCCATCTCTCCAGCCCAAATTAACTCATTCATATTAATCTATGTTTTACTATGTGGCTCATTACCTCTCCCAAATCCAATGTGTCCTACTTCCCCTGAGTCTGTCTAGTGAATCCAGTGCCCTTCAGATTCTTCCCAGAGTTCCTATCTCTGTCCAGAAGTCCTGCCTATCCTCTCCTGCCTAACTATTGGCCATTCAGCTTTTTATTAATTATTTATGAATTAATTTATTAATTAATCAGAAGGTGCCTTAGGCAGGCCAGGTAAAACAGAGGCATACCTTCACAACATACCAAAAGCGTTTCCCGCAACAGGGGAGCTCAGGGAGTTGTTTGTTTTTACATGGAGTCCCTGCAGCCTCAGCCTCCTGAGTGCTGGGAGTACAGGCATGCAACCTCGCATCTGCCATGGACCTCAACATGCAGCCTGGAATGACGCTTGAAGGACTGCGAAGTTAACCCAGCTACAGGGTTTGCTTGGGTAGGGTGAGAAGAAACTGGAATGACAAGAGAGGTCATCAAGGAAATTTCCAGTCAGTTTGGGTGGCTGGAGAGATGGCTGAGAGCGTGGCTGCTCTTCCAGAAGACCCAGACTTAGTTGCCAGCATCCACATGGCGCCTCACAACTGTCTGTCAACGCAGTTCCAGGGTGTCCTGTTGTCCTATACCTTTTTCTGGCCCCTTTGGGCAGGAGGCAGGCAGGCATGTGGTACAGAGACATACGTGCAGGCACAATTCCCATACGTAGACATAAAAACTGCGGGTCAGCAAGATTGTTCAATGGGTAAAGGCTCTTGCTCTCAAGTCTGACAATATTAATTCAATCCCCACATGGTGGAAGGAGAGAACTTGACCCCCACAAGTTACTCTCTGGTCTCCATGTGTATCATGGAATGCATGTACACACACACACACACACCACACCCCAGCCTTGGGCTGTATGCATGTACACACACAGACACATACACATAGACACACACACCACACCCCGGCCTTGGGGGGCTGTATGCATGTACACACATAGACACACACACACACATACAGACACATACCCCACACCCCAGCCTTGGGGGGCTGTATGTATGTACACACACACACACACACACACACACACATACCAGCCTTGGGGGGCTGTAACCTAGAAGTGTGAGCCAGCACAAACCCTTCTTTATCTTGCTACCCTCTGGATATTTTGTTCCAGTAACAGAAAGGTAGGGGTCGCATGATCTGAGAGGAGATAGGGCTGTTGGCGGGGGGGGGAGGCACTGGGAGATGCAGATAGGAAAGTCCTGCAGAGAGCCCCCATCTGCGAAAATCCACTCTCAGGCTGGGACTCACATCTGGAGAGGACTCACATCTGGAGAGAGGCAGCCAGTTTAGACGAGGGATCCGCAGCACAAGGTGAATAGTGCAGGGAAGGGAGGACTGTGGGAACTTGCCAGCTGAAGGAGGGGGAAGGGACCAAAACGCAGAAGGGAATGTGATGTGAAGAGGAAGCCAGGCTCAGGGGGGAGGGGAGCAGTTACACAGCGGTGGCGAGTAAATGGGGGGGAGGGCTTCAGGGAGACTGCACAAGTCTTCAAGCCGGCGGGACCACCCAGATGGATGGGAACGCCATGCCAGAGCCTGGTTGAAGTCCCAGCATCAGGAGACTCAACACAACTAATTTTCCTTGTCATGGTGGCCAACATAAAGACAGTGTATACACTTAGGCCTTAGGATGATAGTTCATTGACATTTTAACTTTCTTCTTTTTCTTTCCTGACTGTCCTGGAAATCGCTTTGTAGGCCAGGCTGGCCTCGAATTCACAGAGATCCGCCTGTCTATGCCGCCCAAGCGCTGGAATTACAGGCATGCGCCACCACACCCCGCGATATTGTAACATTTTATTTGGAAATACATAAAAGACACATTTTGTTGGTCACCTTCACAGAAAATGCTAATTGTGCGGAAAGTCTAGAAACTGAGGCTTCAGCTGGAACTCTTTATATCCTGCCTCGGTGGGACCCAGTAGGGAAACAGCGTCTGAGGCCTCTGCTCCACAGTCTACGCCTGGAAATATCCGAATACTTTTAGGAACCAAAGAAAGGCAATGTGGTGCAGGCTATGATGGGAAAGCCGCACCGGGCCGAGGATGCAACTTCTCTCCCAAGGGTTTCCTTCCTTTCCTGCAGGCTGGCGCCAACTGTCAGAGCTGACACGACTCGGATTGGAAGAGGGGCCACTGCGAGTTTCACCGCGAAGCGTCCACCAGGGGGACTTCGGTGTGCAGAGCTGGGAAGGGCTGCCACGTGTCCGGGTGAGGACTGCCGGAGCCGCCGGCGCCCGCCGCAGGGACTCGGTCGTTTCCCCCAAAGCGGGGGCTGCACAGTCTGCTGCAACGACACGGAGAAACGGCAGCTTTTGTGGAATAAAAGAGGAAGCTTCTCGCCACGCCGCTTCTGCAGGGGATCTGAACCGACACAGCTTTCTTGGGTAGCAGCCTGGATTCCAAAGGGACTGGAGAACAATGGGAAGTCTGTGGTTTAGGGAGGTGACCTGCACTTCTCCACATGGACACCCGAGCGGAAGCAGAGGGCGCTTGATTTTAGTTAAATTTTATTTATTTATTCCAGCCCCAGCAGGGATACATAGACCCTGTCAAAAAAAAAAAAAAAAGATAAGTAAAAGCAAGCAAAAAACCAACCAAACAAAAAAGTCAGCTTTAACTTACACTCACATGAACACACACACACACACACACACACACACACACGCATATATATCCTTTGGTGGGAGGGGGGCGGTGGAGACAAGGTCTCACTTTGTAGCTCTGGTTGGCCTGGAACTCACTGTAGACCAGGCTGGCTTTGAACTCACAGAGATCCACTTGCCTCTGCCTCCCTATTGCTGAGATTAAGGATGAGGGCCACCATGCCCAGATTTTATTGTTTGTTTGTTTTTGTTTTTCTAGACAGGGTTTCTCTGTGTAACAGCACTTAGCTGTACTGAAACCAACTCCCACAGAGATCCCTCTGCCTCCCAAATGCTGGGTCAAAGGCGTGCACCACCACCCGGGTCAGGGAGATGGCTCAACACACAAAGGCACTTGTCACTAACCCTGACAACTTGAGTGTGACATCTGGGATCCGAGTGTCAGAAGAAGAGAACTGAGTTCTGATGGCTGTCCTCTAACCTCCGTACCTTTGTTAGGACGTGAACACCAATAATAAATAAATACGTATAAAAATATACACAGGGCCGGGCGTTGGTGGTGCACGCCTTTAATCCCAGCACTCGGGAGGCAGAGGCAGGCGGATCTCTGTGAGTTCGAGGCCAGCCTGGTCTACAGAGCGAGTTCCAGGACAGCCTCCAAAGCCACAGAGAAACCCTGTCTTGAAAAAACCAAAAAAAAAAGGGAGAGAGGGAGGGAGGGAGACCCGAACCGAATTTTGATCCTTTGCCAGAGCAGTGCATGCTCTTATATTTTTAAAGATTTATTTTCATTACTTTAAATTATGTGTGCATGGCAATGGTAAAGGCATCAAGTACTGTTGCTGGGAGAGGCAAGAGGCTTGGGATCCCGCTGCAGCTGGAGTCACAAGCAGGGCTGCGCTGCCTGACGTGGGTCCTGTGCATGAGCTAGCGTGTGCGCTGAGCGGCTGAGCCGTCTCTCCAGCTCCTGAGCTGAATTATTGCTCCTTGTACTGCTAGGCCACATTTTGCTTGCTCTTTCTTCCACTGCCTTCTGGCTCAGTGTGTAAACAGCGCTGCTAAAGGCACAGGTGTTAAAATACCACACCTGGGATCCCCGCCCTTGGGTGGCTGAAGCAGAAAGATGCCACGGTTCAAGACCAGCCTGGGGCACAGAGTGAGTTTCAGGCCAGCCTGGGGCACACAGCGAGTTTCAGGCCAGCCTGGGGTACAGTGAGTTTCAGGCCAGCCTGGGGTACACAGCGAGTTTCAGGCCAGCCTGGGGCACAGAGCGAGTTTCAGGCCAGCCTGGGGTACAGAGT